CATGCATGCATACATATATAGATATATATATGCCAAATTGTTTGAATTATATAATTATATTTATAAAAATTGAATAGATCTTAGGTTCGACTTCGACCACAGTAAACGGTGGTGCAACTGATCAAGATTCAACGGAAAAGCGAATAAGACGTGAAATAGAAGAGGAGGATGTAAGTGTAAGTTGTTAACAGTTCTCTTTTCAACTTTGTTGACTACGGCTGTGGCCCACTTGATGCTACTAATGCTTCGAAGCATTCCCCTTCTCTTTTCTTTCAATAAAAAAAGAAGAAGAAGAACGCTTTAAAGCATTTGTAGCGTCAAGTGGACCGCAGCTTTTTACGTGTTATTAAAACATTAGAAACCGCATAAAGGCTATTCTACAATTGCGTAAACGTGGTCGTAAGTAGTTGTAATGTACGGCGTGGTTGTAAAGCGGTACTGCGGTTGTAAAGTGTATTGTGGAAGATGGTTGAACTTCATCTTTCACGACTATGCCAGATGTGAACGTAAAAGCCAACCAATCAGAGTGCATTCGAAATACACACTGCACTCTGATTGGTTGCTTTAATCAAGTTTACAACGTATCGTTACTCTATTGTAGATTGATCCGTTGTACAAGATTCACTACTACTACTACTTCTACTCCTACAACCCTAAGTTTACGAAATTGTAGAATAGCCTTAAGATTTTGTAGTAATGAATATAAAATGAATTAATACATTCGTGACATTTTCTGAAGCAGTTCCATGCATTCTACGTAGCAAAAAAAATTTTATAAACATTCACGTATCAAATCTGTAATTTTTTGAATTATATAATTATATTTATAAAAATTGAATATATGTACATTAACGTTTATGATATATAAAATTAGAAATAAAAAGATATCCTTAATTTTTATGAAAATTTTATATAGTAACACTAACAATAAAACTTAGACAAGAAATTAAGCAATTTATGAATAATTCTTGCAAGTTTTCTTTTACAACTTGGCTATTAATTCAATTCTTTTTTATGATTGTCTGTCATAAAATGTTATTCTTGTTAAAAATGATATATTAAATATAAGATGTCTCCTCTACTTTTTCAGTGTAATCTGATTTCAATTATGATTTTATACATGATAAATATATTATTACATGTTAAGATATTTGTTTGAAATACAATCTATTTTATTAAGAAGAATACATACTTTTAGGACTATTTAATGTTGATTATTTTCATTATTCATAAATAAATTATTTCCAGACTTCTGACACTTTGGACAGTTCTGACAGTGAAGAAGAAATTGATGAAGATATCTGTACTGAGATTGTACCTGAAAAGAAGCAAACAGTATCACCTTCCTATATTAAGAGCTGTTCTCAAACACAGATTAAGACGAATAGTATACTTGACCATACATGGAAAATTAATCAATTTATGTGGCTTTATAATACTGTGAAGACAATGACATATGTGTCTCCACCATTTCCAGAAACTGGTCAATACCGGATTCAAATGAAAGTTTTACCTCGAACTAGTTACTACTCTGGGACGTATAATGTAGTATGCTTTTATATACTTACTAGTAATACATTTAACGCTTTGTGTACCACTACTATATCGCTATTATCTGGAAAAGTTTTATCATCAAAATCCATATCAGGTCCTATATCGAATAACACATTGTTAATTGAAATCCAGAGAGACTTGGACAAACTTCTGTCACATAGAGATGAGCTTACAATTCATTGCAAGTTCGAATTTTTTTGTAATCTGATAAATAAAACTATACGTTTGAATTCACTACCATCTTCAAATAAAGTTTCAGAAAACGTGACATATTTTGAAGACTTGACTTTTGATGAGTTTTGCTCTAAAAATAAAACGGCTTCAGAAAAAAAATCAGTTGATAGAAAATAAATGTTGCATAAAAAAAAAATTGTTCATTAACGGTAGTTACTTTAAGAATGTCTACCTTATACATGATGGGATAGAAAGAGATATGACTGAAATGAATTAATAACGTATAATGAAATAGAAATATTTTTTTAACCGATTTAATTATATTATAACTGGCTCAATAAGACAATGTGATATGACATGCTTAAAAAATTATTGACTACAGCTGATAAATATGATGTACTAGCTTTGAAATTAACATGTAAACATTATTTGTTACGCAGTCTTAAGATTGAGAATGCCGTAGAACTTATGCAGCTTGCGTCTTCGTGTAATGCAAAATTTTTAGAAGTGCATTCGGCAAATTTTATTAAGTTTCATGCAAAAGAAATTACAAATACTAAAAAATATTGAACTCGTTCACTATCAAGATAAAATTAATGCAGAAAGTAAAGGAAAATGTAAAACACGCTTGAAATCAACATTAATCATTTCTTTTTATTATTGTTGATAACTAATTAAAATTTTTTAACGATTAATATTCGATTTATATAATATTGCAATCTTAAATATAAATTTATAAAACATGATAAAGATATTTTTCTCATTTAATCTGTAAACATGTTTCCTTTATTTTCACAAATATATTATAATTTTTATTTTTTATATGTATAAGAATTTGCGAACAGAAAAGTATTATTATACATTGAAAATAATTCGTTATTTAAGTTCAAGTGTACGAATGAACCTATTATTAATTATACTTAATGACTCCGTCCAACGAGAGATTAGTATCTCTCATTGGACGGAGTATAGTTTAGTTACTAATTTTCTCATGTTTGATCTCAAACAGGTTGATCTAAAACAAAAGGAAATAAAAAATATGAATCTTTACAATCTTATGTTACCTATAAATATTTTTAAATTTAATTACTATATCTTATTAAAATTTCCAATCGTTCTGTAGATCATCCTGTGTATATATTAATGATGTCAGAGTCTTTAGAAACTACTTTTTTTAACGAGTCAATTTTTTATAAATTCAAACTTTATTTTTGTTCTTCAGTATTTTTCGTAATTATACGTTTTCGATATTGTCATTAATTTGAGTTCAATAAAATGTGATTAAAATTGAAACAGAATCAAATTCATAATTATTGCTTAATATATGTAGATAAAAAATTAATAACTTATGTTTTATTATTTGTTTATTTTTCTACCAGTTTATTTATCTTTATTTCTTATTCAAAGGCATGTATGATATTGAGCAATTTATGTATAGATATATTCGATTTAATACAATTATACGATCCGATCATCTGACGATGGAAAAAGAAAGTTCGCACAAATTAGAGATCAGCTACATAAATTTGAGTTAAATTTGATAACTTATTTCGAAATTTAATTTGTTTTTAAAATAAAAATAAAATCTTTTTAATTTTGTATCTTTTATTAATCTAGTTTCTGCACTACATTCAAAATGAAACTTTTATATAATTGTCGCTTTAAGAGAAAGTAATTTGAAAACAAAAGATAAAGTGTGAATTACGAAATCAGGTAGAAGCAATTAATATTACTAAACAGTAATAGTTGAAATGAAATGTTTGATTTGTCAGGTAGTGAGATTTTAATTGATGTATTCTATGTATCCTATATGATGTATCTTATACATATAATGGAAGAAGTTCGTGATATATCAGTCATCGAATCTATTCGTTCGTTTATTATTTGCTAGCATATTTTAAAGATGCAATTAACAGTTATTGCATACATGAGGAAGTCGAAAAAGAGATACTCATTAATTATTATGGTAAAACTTGACTATGCAAAACTTTGATAATTATAGTATTTTTATGTTATTCTCGTTATAAAAATAGTCATAAGTTATAAAAGTTCTTCATGTAGTTTTAAGTTTCTCATTGCATCTAGATATCTTAAGTCTTAAGTGATACTTAAAATAAATCAATCATATTAAAGAATCATTAAACTAATTTTTCTGCTAAATGTAACCTAATTTATGTTACGTATACTATAGCTTTTCAGTACTGTTAGCACATTTCGGAATACAGCCAACAAAAGAATAAGTAGCTGGTCTTTAAACGCTATTTGACAAAAGGATCCAAGCATCAGTAGCCCAGAGATGTCAGATTTGTATCGTGGCGCTTACTCAGCCTGCTCAGCCGTTAGATGCGTTCTAAAAGAAAAAAACCATGTAAGGTAAAAGTACCAATATCCGAACATTTATCTAAATCTGGACACCTTTATTATTTATAAGCGAATTAAAATAAAAAATTATAGTCCCTACAAATGTTTATTTCCATAAATTTATATATTTTTTGAAGGTGTCTCAGACATTAGGTACTTGTCTAAGCATTGGTACATTTACCCTCCCTATTCTTAAGTATCCGGGTATTGGTCCTTTTACCTTATGTACGTGTGATACATGTATGTGACTCTTAAGTTGCGTGCCCCCTCCACCTATCTTCCGAGTATCCCGAGTGAGCCGGGGCCTGGTGCACAAGCTCAAATCTGACATGAATGGCATCTCTGTACTTCTGTAGCGAGAGAACTGAGAGAAGTGGCCGCCATCATTTGTGACTGGCATTTGTCATTGTTTTTCGCAACACATCTTGTTATATTCACAGTAGCTTGGAAACTTGATTTGGTAAAAGGAAAAGGTAAAAGGAATTAAAAGAGATCAGTTGCTACATCTGTTCTTTAAGCTAATAATTTCTTCATCTGGACGGTGCCGCGGTGTTGGAATATTATCGAAGCCTGTCGTTAGAGAAACCTGATACGTTAAGTTTAACTGATCAAAATTCAACGGAAGAGCAAACAATACCTACAAATACTTTTCTACCAGTTCATTTATTTTTTTTTATTAATTCAGAGGCAAATATAATGAATAAATTATGTATAGAGATATTCGATTTAATAGAAATGTATCATCTGTAGGTGGAAAGAAAATACTTCACAAAAGTTATAAATTGGCTACAAAAATTTAAGTTTGATAACTCATTATTTCGAAATCTATAAAGATTTGTTTTAAAAATAAAAAAGGAACAAATATGATCCTTTTGGTCAATTTAGTATATCTCGTTAATCTATAAGTTTCTGTGCTTAATTTGAAATAAAACTTTATATTATTGCTTTGGGAGAAGGTAATTCGAAAATAAAGGATAAGGCAAAGTGTAACAGTGAAAACTCGGTAGAAGAAATTTATTTCCAAACAATGATATTGTTGAAATGTAATGTTAAATCAGCCAGGTAAAGCAAAAATTTGACGTATTTTTTATATCGATCAAGCCTACTTAGAACTTGATCCGTTCACTCGTTATCGAGATCTCAACATCTCGGGTACTCGCAACCCGTCGCGTCGCGTAAAAGAGTCACGGTCGGTCTCGCTCCGCGTGTACTTGGCGCGAGACACTACCGTGTCTCTTGATACATGATAAAGAAGGTTCGTGATATACCAATCATCAAACGTATATTCGTTCATAATATTAGTAACAAATGTTTTAGCGATGCGCAATTAACAGTTATTATTGGATAAATGAGGAAGTCGACACTCATTAATTATTAGAGTAAAAGTTGACTGCGCAAAACTTTAGTAAAATATTTTAGTATCTTGAAGTTTAATTTCGTTGTCAGTGAAAATAGTCGTAAGTCATAAAAGTTCTTCACGTAGATCTAATTGTAGAGAGGAGTTCCTTATTTAAGGATATATCTTAAGAGTTAACGTAAGATACTTAATAAATATTACCTAAAGTAAATTAATCATATTAAAAAACCAATAAGTTAATTTTTCTGCTGAGCTTATGTAACGTGCATTTCGGGAAATGTATTAATAGTATTAAAAATCCATATAATTTACATTAAGTTTGCTATAGATTTTCAGTACTGTCAGTATAATTCGGAATACACCAAAAAATAGAATAAAGCCTCTAAACACTACTGACAAAACAATTAAGATGTCAGTGGCCCAGAGGTGCCAGATTTGAACTCGCGGCGGGTCGAATAGGATGCGTGACACCTCCATCTATCTTCCGGTTCCGGATTAGCCTAGCCGGCGCGCGAGTCTGGCAACGCTGCAATAGCCACGTTCATTTGTTCATTCGTTATAAGTTATTTCTCATATGTAGTTGTTGATATAGCACATGTTTACAGTAGCGTGTGGAAACTTGATTCGACAAAAGGAAATCTTAATCAAAGGAGTCAGTTGCCACAAGTCTGTACACGTATTAGTTTAATAATTTCTTCATCTGGACGGTGTTGGAATATTACCGAAGCATGTCGGTTGCAAGGAAACGTAAGATTATAGGTCCGGCCACAAGGACCATAGTACCGTACCGTGGTGTCCGTGGTTCGACTGATCAAGATTCAACGGAAAAGCGAATAAGACGTAAAACGGAAGAGGAGGTTGTAAGTTGTTAACAGTTCTCTTTTCAACTTGACTACGGCTGCGGTCCACTTGATGCTACAAATGCTTCGAAGCATTCATCTTCTCCTTTCGTTCAATAAAGAAAGAAGAAGAAGAAGAACGCTTTAAAGCATTTGTAGCGTCAAGTGGACCGCAGCTTTTTACGTGTTATAGAAAGCGCAGATTTTGTAGTATGTATAAATGAATTAATACATTCGCGACATTTTCTGAAGCAATTCCATGCATTTTACATAGCAAAGAAAATGCATAACATTTATTCACGTATCAAATCTGTTTTCTACTCTCATGTGTAATTTGAATGCGTTTAAAAATTATTTATGCAAAAAGTCTGTCTCAGATATCTGTTACTTGTATAGGAATTCAAGATAGAACTCTATATGTAATATAAGGAATATTCAGAATATTATTTTGACATATATATATGTATCAAATTTTTTGAATTGTATAATTATATTTATAAAAATTGAATATATGTACATTATGTATATTATATACATATGTATATTAATGTGCATGATGTATAAAATTAGAAATAACAAATTTAATTCTTATGAGAATTTTACACATAGATCGTCTACCACTCTAATAAAACTTAGACAAGAAAGCAATTTACTAATAATTCTTGTAAGTTTTCCTCTATAACTTGGCTATTAATTTAATTCTTTTTTATGATTATGTGTTTATAA